CACATAAATTTTGAAGGTCCAGCTACCATACTATTACCCACAAAGGTAAAGGAACAACACCACTGCTTGATAACTAGAAAGTTCCAATGTGTGTCAACCTGCGTGCTCTGTGGCAAGGCAGATTGGCAAAAATGTCCAACCTTTACTCACATTCGAGAAAACACTCCCAACAAGATTGCTTTCTCAAAAATCGAAGAGGCTCTGTTCTCTGAATCTCGAGAGCCAGATCCCCGACATGATTGCTTATTCGAAAACCAAAGAGGCACCGCTCTCCGAACTTCGAAAGCCATATTTCCTTGGATAAAGCTTGTCTGCAATCTTTACACGCAACATCAGCTTTATAGATACCACATACCACTTTTTCAAAGTGCTCTGACAAAGTTAAAACATGTGAAGCTTGCAGCTCCCACTACATTGCTATGACCAAGAAGGGTAAATGAATAGCATTATTACTTGCTCAAAAATCGAAGAGGCACCGCCCTTTGAATCTCGAGAGCCAGACTCCCAACATGATTACTTTCTTAAAAATCGAAGAGGCACCACTCTCCGAATCTCAAGAGCCAGACTCCCAACTGGATTGCTTTCTCAAAAATCGAAGAGGCACCGCTCTCCGAATCTCGAGAGTCATATCCCTGACATGATTGCTTGTTCGAAAACCGAATAGGCATCGCTCTCTAAACTTTGAGAGCCAGATTTCCTTGATAAAGCTTGTCTGCAATTTTCACACGTAACATCAGCTTTCCAGATACCACATACCATATACCACATACCATTTTCAAAGTGCTCTGACAAAGTTAAAACACGTGAAACTTGCAGCTCCCATTACATTGCTACGACCAAGAAGGGTAAAAGAATAGCATTACTACTTGTTGTTAGGAAGACTCCTATATATGTCGACCTCTATCCTCCACGGACAGGCAGACCTGCAAAAATGCTCAACCCTTCCTCATATCTGAGAGGGCACTCCCGACGAAGCCTCTTGAAATACTCAGCTTTCTCCCCCTAATAATACCTATGCAAACCAGCCACACCATAGCAAGAGTATCTCATATCACCAGGGTCAAAAGCAAGAATATCCCATATCATATTTTTTCTCTGTCTTTTCCTTTGCCTTTGCTCTTACCTGCAAGACAAGGAGAAAGAGAGCAATCAGTCAGCACTTGGAATCAAGCTTCCAGTCAAGAACTGACTGCCTGGAACCCCTTGCCTGATTACTTACCTGGCATTACTCTCGAGTACTCGTCTTCAACATTTTATGCTTCTAGAAAAGATACCACATCTGCATGAAGAACAGATAGGGCAAGTAAGAAAGATACAAGGAAGCATGTGGAGACAAACGCAACAGAACACATGCCGATTCATCTATTACTTCGTCAACAGCAAAAGTATCCCATATCATCAAGGTCGAATGCACTCTTGATTTGATGGACTTGTTTTGACCATCAAATTCTTGAGTCGGCCTTATACTCTGGAGGAAACCAGAAAACCCTCCAGCCAAGTTCAAGAATAATCTTGTGGAAAGTTACTTTTTCAAAAGCAAAAGTATCTCATATCATCTTATCCATTTGCTTCTCCTTATCCTTGTTGCTGTTTACGACACAAGGAGAAGGAGAACAATCAACCGGAAGCCGAAGCCGAACCTCCGACCCAGGTTGCTTGCTTGGAAGTCTGATTGCTTACCTTGTCTGTTACCTCTTTCGGCAAATCTCTTAGCTTGGCGGCTTGGGGGACTCCTACTATAGGGTTTTGTATCACACTTGACCAAGCCCGAAACTACAAGTAAGCTTCAAGTGAAATTGATACATTACCTTATGCATCTTCATCGGTTAAAGATACCACCCCTGGATGGAGGAAAAATATTTATAGAGAAGATGCCACATCTACGTATGAGACAGATAAGGCAAGTGAAAATGATACCACACTTCGGTATTTAGAAGTTTCGTGATTACTCAATGACTTGGATCTTGCAAGTCCCTAACCGAGGAGCTTCCCTCACTCGGGAACTTAGGGGAGCACTGTTTGTACCATACTTGACCAATCCCAAAACTGCTGAGCACCGGTCAACGTTATACCGTCAAGGACCCAGAAGAGTTTCCCTACAACCAGGAGGCCAATCACAGTGCGATACGTGTCTACATCAGAAGCCAATCATAGCGCGACACGTGTCAACATCAGAAGCCAATCACAACATGACATGTGTCAATGTCAGAATGAAACTATAAACTCTCTTCTATAAATAGAGATCATTATTGCACAATATTTCCTAATGTCATTTGTACTAAATCATTCACTTGTACTCACTAAAGGAGAGTTTGAACCTATGTACTTGTGCAAACCCTTCACAATTAATGAGAACTCTTCTACTACGTGGACGTAGCCAATCTGGGTGAACCACGTACATCTTGTGTTTGCTTCCATGTCTCTATCCATTTACATACTTACCCACACTAGTGACCGGAGCAATCTAACGAAGGTCACAAACTTAATACTTTATGTTGTACCAAAGTCCTCACTAATTTTGTGTATCAACACGATTAATTGACGAAAGAATCAAAATTTGATGTGGACTTGATTCACACCCAATTGGATTTAATCAAATAATTTTTTTATTTAATTAAATAAATCAATCAACTTCATCCTTAATTGAAACTTTTCGTCCTAATCACAACATCCTGTCATATTATATGGGGACTAAAAAAAATTAATTTTGTTAATGAGTAATTCATCCATCTAAAAAACCTTTTTCATTTATTCCAGTCCTTACTAACTCTTTGTTTGGTTATTTCGGTCCTTACTACACTCATCGCGCACTTGTATCACTACCTAAGCTTTGCTTAGCTCCTAAACTTACCACGAACTTGAATCATCGAGTGGCTGCTAAAGCAAGCTAAGCTTCACAAAGCACCAAAACTAGTTAATTGTTTATTATTATGATTTCATGAAAAAGCAACAAAAACAAACTTTTGGCGGAAACGAAATTTCACATGGCCGGTACAAAACGTTATTATACCCAAATAGCCATGGATTAAAGTTCCAAAGAACTATGAACTGGTCACGGCGCAGTGGCACACAAAGTAATATAACCTGTAATGCAAGTGCAATATCGTCTATCAAATATGATAAACAGAATGTTTCCCGCCAATTCAAAACCCTAAAACATCATTTTCTCCCTTTCGAATACACATTCCCGAATCCCCACCTTAGCATCGCCGCCACCAATGGCAGAAGAAGAGATCGCAGCACGAGTGGAAGAGAACCCAGCAGGAGAAGAAGAGAACCCAGCACAAGAAGAAGAAGAGAACCCAGCAGGAGAAGAAGAGAACCCAGCACGAGACGCAGAAGATAACCCAGCAGACGAAGAAGAGAATCCAGCAGTCGAAGAAGGGAGCCCAGCAGCAGAAGAAGAAAACCTAGCAGGAGAAGAAGAAAGCCCAGAACAAGAAGAAGAAGAGAACCCAGCAGGAGAAGAGGAGAACCCAGCACAAGAAGAAGAAGAAGAGAACCCAGCGCGAGAAAAAGAGAAGCCGGCAAAGGGAAAAGGGAAGGTAGGAGAAGAAGAAGGGAATGGGAATCGGATCCGACCCGAATTCCCAAACGGTCGGATCAAGAGGATAATGAAGCTGGACAGGGGCATCAACAAGATCAACTCGGAAGCCTTACTCCTCGTCTCGTACTCCGCCCAGCTTTTCCTCGAATTCCTGGCGGAGCGGTCAGCGGAGGTCGCGACGGAGAGGAAGCGCAAGGTCGTGAAGCTCGAGCACATGCGAGTCGCGGTCAAGAGGCACCGCCCGACATGCGATTTCCTAATTGATGAGCTTCCCGTGCCCTCTCAGCCGTCCGATCATCCGGCAACCGACCGGAGTCAAGGTCACTCTGTCGCCAGTAGTTCAGCTCCAGCTAAACGAGACCGGAGCCGCACCGCTGCCGCTAGACCAGCTCCAGCCGGCACTTGTCGGATCGATGGTTTCTTTCACAAGCTGACAAAAAAAGCCCCGATTCAGACAGAAGAAACCCCAATCGAGACCGACGAAGCACCAATCGAGACCGACGAAGCACCAGTCGAGACCGACGATGCCCCAATTGAGGTCGACGAAGCACCAATCTAGAGTGACGAAGCACCAATCTAGAGTGACGATGCACCAATTGAGATCGACGAAGCACCAATCGAGACCGACGATGCCCCAATTGAGAGCGACGATGTCCCAATTGAGAGCGATGATGTCCCAATTGAGAGCGATGATGCCGCAATTGAGAGCGACGAAGCTTCTAATTGAGACCCACGGAGCCCCAATTGAGATCCACGAGTCATAATCTCAGGTCTTTGTTGGTCGAAAAATGAAACATTTTGTTTGGTCAGGTTGTCTAATGGTGAGAAATCCATGGAAACAGGGAGTCTGATTCCAATTTTTGTAATTATTTATCTAATTATCCAGTGCATTTGATATTTTGATCTTGGTGGATATTGATTACAATGTGCTGTGTGCAAGTTTTTCTATCAGTCTTATATGATATTTGAATCGGTTTGCTTCTTGTCATCATCATCGATGAGAAGTGGGGTACCGAAACTGGAAGGAGATATTTCATCTCTTAGTTTTGTTCATGAGAAATGATTGAGTTTCTTCTTGTTTTTCTATGTATATGATATCGAAAACAGAGCAAATAGATTAGATTAGTGCATGAGCAACAGGGACAAACCTTTGTTGAAGACTGTCAAAGAGACGAGAAAAGCACAAGGCATGCCCTACATTGCTCACATATTTCGCAATAGACTCGTAAGTTATGAGGTATAACTATCAATGCTGTTCAATGGGGATGGGGAAAAACTCTACCATTCTGCTCCCATGTATGTTTGTGTGTAGTTCAAAACATAATTCTTTACTTTCTGGCTTGTGTTCATATGACTTTGATTTGCTTTCTCTTTTCTTTTCATTTACAATTTGGAAGGTTACAGAAAATATGCTTAATATTTTACTTTTTCTAACTGCAGTACATGGTAGTAATAAGAAAACAATCTTAGAACTTATTTATTTGCATTTGCAATTACAGATGTCTAAAAGCTCTAGACATTTCTGCTGGTACAGGGGTAATTTTTAAATACAGGCTCTTTTGCTGAAACGCTAAACTGAACTTATTTTTCTGCATGATCTGTTAGGTATTTCCGCGCTACTAGCTCTCGCACTCTTCTGCTCTTTGTCCTCCCGTAGGACAAGACGATTGACAACTCAGACACAATAATCAGGGAGATTGTGGGCCAGAAAATGTTGATACCACCGAAGCTGTTTCATCTCTAAGGTGAGAAACAAGGCCAGGTCGAGCGAACAACTTTTGTCTATGTGCCTTTTTACCTTCCTTTATAAAGGAGATGCCTTGAGTGGCTGAGTTTATGCTGTGTGGCCCCAATTGCTGAAGGCCCAGTGAAAGCCTTCTGTTTAGAGGCATGGCGTTGCTAAAACCTCCGTTCACACTCCTGATTGAAGTTCGCCTTGTACTGGTGCTTGGCCTGGTTATGAACAAATTTTCTTGCTCGACCACTACTTGGCTTTGGACCTTCTTCATTTCCTGTGAGGGAAAGCTTGCCTCATCATGTTGGTAAGAAAATCCAAAAACACAGGCCAGAGGACCATTGTGGAATGAGAAATTGTTATATCGGGTTGCATGCGACTAGATGTCTTACTGGAAAACTACAGACATATGAATGAAGACACAACACTTTCGTGAACCTTTCATTGTATTGTAAAATAAAACTAACCCGTTGTCTTTGCTTGTCCTCCTCCTTTTCTTGCCTTAGCACATTATACTCTTCCAACATTGCTAGGAGAGGTACCTGCATGACATGTTTTTCATGAACCGTATTTGACTGCACTACCAGTCTACCAGAGAGAGAAAGCATGGAATATTTTTTAAGACACCCATCGATACAGTGCAAAGAAGGAAGATACCGTGATACTCTGTTGAAGTACAAAACTGTGAGACATTCATAGAATCCTGGAACAAATAGTTCCATGATTCCTTGTCAACCTTAATCCATATATTTCCAGCTTTTGTTATCTTCTTATCACATCGATCAGTGGTTGCTTTTTTAAGATAATAGTTATGAAACAAAAGGTGGCATTTAACATTTGTATGTGCATTCATCTAATGAGGTCCCACTAGTCCAAAAATTAAGAAAAATATATAATTGTTTGAGTGGAAAAAGGTCTCCCAAAAACACCAGTCTTCGGATTCAGATTCTAAATTCCAATTATTCCTTCTTCTGAGTGATTTTTCTTTGATTATGGAAATTTGTTGAACTTGAACTTCTCTACTCTAGTTTCAATACAGTATAACATAGTGTATTAAATTGTATCGGTCAGGACTCGGATGCTATTCACAAATCAGGGATTCAGAATTAAATAGGAGAAGATTGTTTTATAATATTGCGGAGCTGTAAGTTACGTACCTCATCATACAGGAAAGTTTTCTTTCTTTCTTCTTCCCAACTCTTAGTATTTGCTATTAGCAAATCCACCAAAGCTGCGTGTTGTGACATTGTGAGAAAACTTATCTTTATTGGATGCCATTAACGGTATGATGCAAAAGCATAGCACATACATTAAAGTTTTTTGTTTTCCTTTGTTTGATGTTTTGGAAGAATACTGAAACTCATCCAGCTAATGATATTCTTATTATTTTATTATCATTGCATATTGCAGCAAAGTTTACTGATTGTATGTACACTCTGAGTTGTGGACCTCGTGTATACGACAATCCTGCTTCTGTTGTGTGTGAATGCGTATAGCTAAGAAAACGGTTCTTGATTTTACCTGGGATTTTGTTGACTAATACTCGGGCACGTTCTGCACGTTTCAGGTTCTTGTGTGCACCTCTGCTGACTGAGTACCGGTTCTCGTCCTAAAAGACATGTTTGATTAGTAAAAGTGAAGTCTATGTGTGTACTTATAAAGGTACGAGCCTACTACAAATGTAGATCCATATACTGACTCTACTATATTCTTCCAACCAACGCTCCTCATCACGTGCTAGCACCCACTTCTCCACCTTTTCCATAATAGTCATTCTGCTAGAAGCTTCTTCTTTTGCTCTTGATATCTGTTGATCCATGCTCGTTAGGAGATCTGCATGGTCGATCTCCCCTGTTGTACATCTAGGTCAGTTAACTGTCTACTTTATCCATAAACAAACAAATTAAGACAGTTTTTTTTTATGAAAAATATGAAAATCGCACCCGAGTTGATGAGGTTAATTAGATTATCAATCTCTGATTGCGAAGGAATCTCCATGTGTGATTTATTGCGTATCTCTTTGAGCTCATTCTGTTTCTTGAAAAATAGTTCTTTCATCTTGCTTGCTTTTAATTGATCCAGTCTCTTGACTTCAGCCTCAGCCTTTAAAATGAATTTGAATGATGTTATTTCTCTTTCCGAATTCCGATACATTGAATTGCCATCAAAATTTTATACTTGCCTGTTGTATTATATGTAGGGTTAGGCTTCCTGGATCTGATACTTCTGCTGATGAAAGTGATAATAAGCCAGTAACATGGGAAAACGATTGACGATCTTTGTAGGGTGTGTCCATGAGATCCCACAAGTTTGTCAATGCTTTGCCAAGATGGTGAAGCTGAAAATGTATATGCAGAAATAATCATACTGATGCCTTATGTAACCAGTGAGTTTGCATCTTTCCCAGAAGAGTAGATTTGTATGTTGAAAATGTATAATTTAGGCTACTTAGTCAGTTCTATGAATTTCTTTCTGTAATTGTATCCCAGTGTATAACTAAAGAATCGTTAGTGAGAACTGATACAACTGCACAAGTAATTGTCACCTTTTCGAGTCGCCTTTGCTTTTCTTCCCCAAGGGATTCCACTGTGCTGTTAAGTTTAGCCAAAATACTGTTGCTTATATTTTTGGCTATCCCACATAATTCATTCAAGCTTGGATGAACCTTGGTGATAACCATTGAGGCGTCTGTTCCTAATATCAAAGACAAATTGTGGACTGCATCTATATATTTTTCGACCCTCATGAGCCTTTCATTCTGCAAGACAAACATAGAACTTAAAAGGAGATTTGAATTTTCATTAGAAGTACATATGTTTTCGTTGTCCACGAAACAGTTTCTGAACTACATTATGGTACCTTCTCGTTGTGGAGTCTTTGTAGCTCTGTTTGGTACTCCTCTAGTTTCTTTGGTGAAAGATCATTCTCATTCACCATGACATTCGATGATAAGTCTTCGTACTCTGACTGACCTGCTATTTCTGCAGAAATTTTCTGAATTTGCCCTTGTACTGCTCGGAACTTATTCACCCTATCTTCTTTCCTCAATCTCATCTCCCTCAATGCCGGCGTGAGTGAATCCAACTGTTCTTTCAGTGTTCCCACCATTTTTTCTGGCTGATGAGATGATAAAAAAATCAGCCCAAGAAAGTAAGAGTTCTTATATTTTCTCAGTATTCACATTTGTATTCCAATCCAATATTAGCATGCATGCGATGATTAATAGCCATATTAATTTACCGAGTTAACAGGGATTGATGGATAATGTACCCGTCCAGGGAGAGACCGTTCGCCAAGGGACAGAAGAAGATGGGTAAATTCAGCCTCCGCTTCAGCCAACTCCTGGTGCAGTCGAGCTCTCGAGGTATTCGCAGTATCAACCTTCTTCCTATAAACCTCCAGACACTCCTGCTCCAAATCCAGCAGCACCTTCTCCCTTTCAAACTGATCTTGTCCAACTTCATTCCAAATCTTCTGTTTCATGTAAATTCAGAAAAACAAAAGTTTCAGAACGAGAACCATTCAAATGCATTAGTTATCCGATAAATGTAGAACGAAACCTTGCCTGCAATTCCTGAAGCAAGTATCCGCACGAAGTTTCCAAAAGCGTGGAGCTTCGCATTCCAATCGGCGTCTGAAACGAACCCATCTGAATGTTTTTCTTCTCTGTGTTCTCCATTGATCAGAACAAAGCCAAGTTAAGGGCGGTGTGGAAAGAGGAAGAAAGTGGGAAGTTCCTTGATAAGGCAGAGTGTGATATGGTGGACCTCTTGGGTGTGAGTTTTGCTTAAAAGACAAGTGTGGAAAAAGGTAGGTAATTTCCAAGCTTTGAGTTCAAGGATCTGCACCTTCTTCAGCTTTTGTGACTTTTGCTCTTTCTTTCTTTTTTTTTTCCCTCTTTGATTATTTGAATTTAAACTTGAGGAGAAATTGTTGCAGTTAGGGTTTCTTATTCAAAGATGTGCACGCCTGTTCTTGCACCGCACTGACCAAGCTTTGACTTAATTCCTAAGCAATATCAAATCCATGTGGATTGGGGAAGAAGGATATGGTTTTGCCTTTTCACTGTTTTAGTCTGTTTAGCTTCTATACCTTGTATTAGGAACATTTGATCAACAGCAAATGTTTTGATTGGCCCATTAATGTTTTGATTGATCTTTAGTTATTTTTTTGTTAACGAGAAAGTCATTCGAACTTCAGACATTTTCCTGACATTTGAGAGAAGGTACCACAAAACTCATTTAAAATGCTTATCCAGTTTCTTCGGAAATTGCAAGATCTTTGGCGCCAGAAGAAGTTGACCCGTATCATCTGGACTTGGTTTTAATTTCTCTATATGTTTTTTGTATTATTTCTACACAATAAATGTCTTTATTCATTAGAAAGCGCCGTCATTTAGCCCTTCTAAATACCATCTCAACAAACTTCAAGATCCAATTAAGAATGCTCACATAAAAATCACTTATACTCATAAACACTTTCAGTATAATTTTTTTTTCTATAAGAAGCACATTAAAAAGTTTATTAAAATTCAAAGTGCTCGTACTTCACTAAGAAAGCACTCCAAAGTCTTTAAAACCAAGAAATTATTATTATTATTATTATTATTATTATTATTATTATTTGCAGAATGTTATCACATGTGTTTTTTATTATTTGAAAGCGCTTAGCCATTCCCAAATAGGTCTAGTTGGTAGTGATTGATTCATTATTAATCATACACTAATCTTCGATTAATTGTGGGTTTTTGGTTTGGTAACTCATCGTCAATACGACTAGAGACAAATCAGTAGGTAACATTTGTCTCTCTAATTTGGATGAGAAATATAATTTCACTAACCTGCATTAGGAGTGAGATTAAATTATTAATAGGATTAGCACCTGACTTACAGCCAATTAGCAAAACCAGTCTAACAATCTTTTGGCTTGTAAAGAGGATAAGATACCTGAAGTGGCTCTTTCCAAAGGAGACAAAGTTGAAATTGAAACTGAGTTTTGCACTATAGCTAATTCAAGATCTGGTCAAATAAAAAAAGAGAAAAGTAGATCCGTTAGACATATTTTGAAAAGCACAACAACAAGACATTAGGATTACAGATTGAATAAATCAAGTGAAAATATAAAAAATTAACTTATCTCTTGAATTCCAAACCCTAACCTTAAATCCTAAATCGGAGTTAAGACTATATTATTCTAATCATATTGGGCTGTAATATTAGTCAAATATTAAGTCACTTAGATAATAAGTTACTCGAGAATCAAGTGACTTAATTGAAAAGTCATTGATACTCACACTAATCTTTACAAGAGCAACCCAATCTATCTTCATATTACGCAAAGTGGACTTGTCAGCTTTCAAGCCTAGAGAGTATGGGAAACTAAATTTGAGGAGTATTTTGTTCTACTCCACTTGAAATTTGGTTTTCTTTTATGGTGGATAAGTAGAGGGGAAAACCCTACAAAATAGCACTTCATCTCTATTTTGGAAAAGAAGTTGCATGAAAAAAGCTCACAGTTATTGTGACGTTTTGGGCCATTTTTACAAGGTTATGTTGAAAGAGTCTTACGCATGACCTTGTATTAGTGGTTCGAGACTCCTTGCTGATAGTAAACATGTTCCTTGTAACTCTCTTCCTCCTATTTTAGATAGATATTGCCGTATTATTTGAATTATATCATCATTTGAGTGTCTCACTGATCACGTAAGTGGATATATTCCCGATCACACCCAAAATGTCCCCACTATTATAAGTTTAACAAAAGAAAATTGAGATATAGGTATCCAGAGAAAATGATCATTAGAAAACAGGGCAAAAGCAAGCCCAAATGGGAAACAACCATAAAGGTGAACATTGCACTCAAAATCTTTTCATTTTTCAAAGAATCAAAGCAGCCAAATTATGCATGTCAGCTGCAAAGGGACAACTTATTTATCTCACAGCTTTACAGCAAATTTATATCGGATTTCCGTAAGCCTAACGCCTCAAGGCTTACGCCTCAATGCCTCAAGATTTGTGAGACATTGAACGCCTTGCTTTACGCCTTCACCTTTATAAACACTGGTTGTGAGTCCTGTGATTCCTTGTTACAACTTTCTACGTTTACAAGTAATCTGCTGTATTGTCCTGTTGAATACATCTAAGCTTTCACTTCTGAATAATATAACGAAACAAGCAGTTAATTTCCTTTCCTGGACCCTTCAAGACAAAATAATTTCAGTCGACATACAATTTTGTATACGAGCAAGTATGCAGTGAAACTGTCGCAACTGTCCCTATTGATATTGCTTACTCCGAGTGAGGGAGGTAGAAATTGTACAATTTTTCGGTTAGTCATGGATTTTAAAAGGAACGAAAGAGTATGCGCTTGCAGAGCTTCTAGGTTGGTTCCCATCAACAAAGAAGGCTGTAAGAAGGCATGTCTTCAATCCGCAAAACATCATCCATTAGCAGCTCCCTCTCCAGTTGAGCTCGCGTCGATTTCAAAACATCCTGCAACACATTCAAATAGAATCAAAACCCTTTGAAGTTTGTAATCCAACATATGTAGCCCTGCGCGGTACGTATATGTATAATCTTGGGGAGTATGATTCATGAATGGTATGCAGATCAAGGATATTCTCACATTGAACTCCATGTATGTAGCATTTCTCTCGAGCCACTGTTTGTCCATAACCATGAATGCAACGCAGTACAGCAAGTCGAAGGTCCATTCATTTTCTGCAGTAACATTAGAGAATGAGAAGGTCTCTGTTAGGCAACCATCAACCTTTTTTTGGTGCTGTTGTTCAGTAAGATTTAAACTCGGATGTTATCTTACCTAACAACATTTGTAAGAAAACTGTTCTTATGAAAGTCCTGGGTTTTCCTGCCGCATAAACAAGCATGAGTTATCAGTCCAAAGCTTGCGCTAGAGAAATCGAAAACCTGTCATTTGAAAAACCGACAACATTTTATATCCTAAGTTCGAAACTTGGAACAAAAGGAGCTCCTTTGACACTTACTGGCATCAAGGTCAAGCATTTGCATGATCATAAACGTGATGTTGACACCAGCAACAGCGAAAGGATATTCCCAAGCAGCTCGCTTTCCTCTCTGCTTTTTCAATAGACACTGGAAAGATGCCTGCAACAACATAAATAAACATATTTAGACAGCATAAGTTAACATGGTTGGAACATTAAGTATATACCAGTAGAGCGCATTAGCCCTCCAATATACATACATAACACATGCATATCAAGCTCCGTAGTTTTTTGTTAGGTTGGGAGTATGCGAAACCTATTTCTTGATGTTTCAAACTTTCTAGTTACATATCGAGGTTGGAATCTTACTGAAAATGTCTTTGCAAAGAACAGCAGGTTCTCCAAAGAAATGAATCCAGCTCCTCTGTCAGGTAATCCAAGCTAAGCAAGTAAGAGAATGACAACACAAATTGACAGAAGAAATTAACCCGAAAGTTGCAGAACAATAGACAAATAAATGTAAACAAAACCTGAAATCGGTAGACGGATCTCTTCCTTGCCATCCCATCTCTTTCCATTGATCAGATATCAAACCCTTAAGCTCTTGTCCAGGAAATGTAGCGTACCATAAAGCTCTCAGCGCTTCCTGTCCTCATCAAATTTTCGTAACAACTAAGTTTAAGAAAAAAAGACAAACAATTACCAAAGAAAGCATTTGACTGTATAATTGAACCTTAACTCATGCCATTTTTAAAGTTGACATTCGTGTCCCATCTGTATCATGTGTCCATGGACACTAAGTTGTAATGCTTAAACTCAAATTTCTGCCTACATATAAAAAGGTCGGGAACATATATATACATCTCGAAATGAAAATTTCACCTGGTGATCCGGCCTAGTAGCATCAAAGTAAACCTTCATTCTTTGCTTCAATCGTCCCATTCTTTCTTCCTGCAAGTTTTCGAACAAATCTGTAAAATATAGTGAAAGAGTAAAATGATAGATCATCATGGCAAGAACTAAAGAAACAGAAGAACAAACTCGACTTCATACTCCACTCAGTTACCAAAAACATGATTCTAAATGGCAATCCGGCATTCTCTGTCTTTGTCATCAGCTCTTAACGAATGATTGGTGGTTTAATTAACTTAAATACTTACCTGAAGGGGTGTCAAGTTCATACAAATCCGCTGATAATTTCCCTTTCGCTTGAAGCAAACGCAAGTGAGACCCTTACCGATCCATTTAGGCGAACCACAAGTTTCATCATCTGCATACAACCAAAAAAACCAAGAGAATTCCCCAATGAAAACAGTGTACTAATGGAACATGATCGATTACACAACGTCGTTAATTGCTGCCAGAAACACAAAGAAAGTACAGCACACAAAATCTTAGCAACCTGGAGGCAGTAGCACACGATCCACAAGAAAGCATTTCATAACAGCAAATGTTGCAGTGGATTTCCACAGATTTTTGCTTCTTCCGAATTAATTTCCAAACAATCAAGATCATCGTAATATAGCCAAACACCATTATTGTATCATGATTGAAACAAACAGAAAAGAACGCGGAGATTTTTTGAAATCCTTATCATCCAAACACTCCCATCTACCAAGTTCGAGTAAATCTGACACTCCAAATTATAATAATATTTGTCTCTGGATGCATTTCTTTTATGTATGTGCAGTGTCATGTCGTGAAGTAGACGGTGTATGTAGTGAAGTGGACGAGACATATTCGATAAGACTGTCGGACTAAACTAACTTTAATACAAGGGCAATGCTAAGGGGTTCCGTTAAAGTAAGACTCATCATAGATTCTGTCATCTCACAATTTAACATAAACTCTCGTGTTATATTATAAAATATTGTGCAAAAAATATGAGATGCACTTTTGAGCGAATCTCTTTAGCATTTCTCTTAATGTAAAGTCTGAACACTCATAACGTATGAGATTGAGTGAAACTACAAATATCTCATATTTTTACCAAGTTTGTATTCTATATTATTGACCAAAAAAAAAGTTTGTATTCTATATTTGGAGTGTGTAGTGTTGTGTTAAGCCCGACAAACATACGAACACGCGCCGATCTGCGACATTAAACAGCATCCTACCACGTGGGAGACATATGCTGGCCATGTGAGAGTACTTGATCCAATATGGTCGGAATGCTTATCATATATGGACCTTGGATTCTTTTTCTACATATGTCGTATAACTATTCTATACTGGCATGTATAGTACGCATATATATTACTTGTCAGAAAATACTAGATAAGAATCAGATACATGTCAATCACGACTCACAATTAGCCACATAAGTAATTCTCAATTAGATATTTTCGTATATTCGTCAAACTGTGATTTGCTAGTTTTCTTTTTGGTGCACAGAACAAGAAAACGCATTGCTAAATTAATCAATTTTTCTGGGAAATGAATCAAATTTATCAGCATATATATTGAAGAAGTTTAAGTAAGAGTGCTAGAAAAAGATAGATAACAACCTGCAGAAATGGAAGCAGAAGTGTGTGTGGGAGGAGCGCAGCGGGAGATGGTAGAGGATGAGGAGGAATTAGGGGGAGGAGAGAGAGTTTGAGGACTACTGGTACTCCCAACAACTCTCATCATCTCGATCTTCGGAGGTTCCAATCCGAAGCCAGTTTTAATTAGGTAATCTTTATATATGGAGAGAGTAGACGGTCAAGGACGCAAAAGTCCAAGTTGAGTGAAACCACATGGCAGGCTGTCCAATTAGGTTAAAAGGACTGACAAAAATTACACTACAAAAAGCAGTGGAATCTGAGATGCCTTTGATGACAAATGTTATATGCAGTCTGATGGTTGTTGCCCACTTGCCAACAAGAAGAATCTAGATTGTCGGCAAAATTTTCATTGTGATCGGAACACGAATAGTACATCACGTACTTTTATATAAGTAGTGAAAAATTTTATTTTTTAAATTGTTAACTTTTTAATACACATATCCACCATTTATAGAGTGACACGAAGTGTACCATCCCGTATTCCGATTATATTAAAAAATCTCTCTAGATTGTCACCCACGCTAGCTTCAACACTCGGAAATAAAAGAGTAAATTGAGCAATGATCCCTTAATTTTAACTAAATTGTAGCAATGATTATTCAACTAAAAATCCATTAACATTGGTTCCTTAACTCATCAAAACGTGTAGCTATGGTCACTTAATTAAAAATCCATTACCATTGGTCCCTTAACTTTAATTCAACTGGAGAAATGGTCCTTCAACTTTAACCCAATTGTAGCAATGGTCATTCCAATATAACTCATTTTGACAAAATTTCGACGACTTTGACTAAAATAACCATAGCTACACATTTTGATGAGTTGAGGGACCCCAATTGTAGCAATGGTCCTTCCAACATAACTTATTTTGACAAAATTTTAACGAAGTTGACGAAAATGAACATAACTATACATTTTGATGAGTTGAGAGACCAATGGTAATGAATTTTTAGTTAAGAGATTATTGCTCCAATTTGATTAAAGTTGAGGGACAATTTATACAATATACTCGATATAAAAACTACCACTACTTATAGGACTAGTTTAGTAATTATGTGTTTCAAAAAATTTGATTTTGTTGTGTTGTGAACATATGTGCTTTGTTTGTTTGTCTTATTTTTTTTTTTGGTAAAAGTGCTTTTAACAAAAAAAAAAAAGTGTAAGTGTTTGCTTAACTTATATATAAATTGTTGTAAATATGTTAAATGATTAAAAAGAATAAAGTATTGAACGTAATACAATAATTCCAAAGAGAATAACGAAGGGGTAAAAATTGTAATTTTGTAAAATATGCAGAGGTATACTTATCATTAGAAATTTTCATTAAATATGCCTTGTTCATTACGCTTTGAAAAAAAAGATTTTTTTTAGAAGTATGGTACATCTTGGTTTTGCTTTTCTATTGACATTGATAGCAGTTTTAGGAAAACCTTTATTTTGTTTGTTTTACCAAACACATTTGGTGTTACAATTTTTTTAATAAATTGCTTTTTTAAGAAGCACCACAACCCCAAACTATCCTGTAATCAGTAATAATTTTAGCACGACATGATTGTCTGACTCAAAAGTGATAAAAATTAAATGAGTTCAAGTTGTTCATAATCGTAGTCTAGTAATAATTGTGTCGGTTGATTCAACACGATTAATAAACAGTTTGTATTTCGAGTCAACCTAAATGTTAATAACATTTAAAAAAATTTGTCAATCCTTGTAAATAAGCTTGTAATAAATTTCGAGCCAACCTAATTGACTATATGAAAAATAAATTAAAAGAGTAATAAATTTATTAGAAAACTTTATTTTAATCCTTGACAAAGATGACTTTTAGATTTAAACCATGAGTAAAAATATGATTTTAGTCCCTTGATACATTAATAACTTCATTTATTAATTTTATTTTGATTTTTTAATGATTTCTCTTTTTCTTCCTAATTTTTAATGTATTAATTTTATTTCATTTTCATTTTCATTTTCATTTCATGTATTGTAATATATTTTGTTGTAAACATTTAGATAAACTAATTTTTGTTATACAATATATTTCGATTTACTTTGTCTTCTTCATTTAGGTACATTAAATTCATTATAATATATTTCGATGCATACATTTAAATACACACATTTCGGTACATACATTTTGATACAAAACATTTAGGTACATTAATTCAATATAATACGTACATTTCGGTATACACATTTTGACACACCCCGACTGGAGTCGAGGCGTGCTGGTCGTCACTGGCTTCGGATTCTATTGGAACTTCGAAGTTAAGCGAGTTCGGGTGAAAGCATTCTTAGGATGGGTGACCCACTAGGAAGTTCTCGTGTGAGTTCCTATAAACAAAACCGTAAGGACATGGCCAGGGCCCAAAGCGAACAATATCGTGCTATGGCGAAGTCGAGACTGGGATGTGACAGAATGGTATCAGAGCCACTCTACCGTTTGGTGCAAATGTGTCAACGACGACGCCAGGTTCCCCTTAAGTGTGGTGGATTGTAACATCCCACATCGACCAACGGATATGGGGTGATGTGCCTTATATGTACATGCCCACCTCCATATAGCGCGAGACCTTTTGGGGATTCACTGACTTTAGATTCCATTGGAACTCCGAAGTTAAGTGAGTTCGAGTGAGAGCATTCCTAGGATGGGTGACCCACTGGGAAGTTCTCGTGTGAGTTCTAAAAAACAAAACCGTGAGGGTGTGACTGGAGCCCAAAGCGAACAATATCGTGCTACGGCGAAGTCTAGGCTGGGATGTGACACATTGAGGTACATTAATTTAATATAATACATTTCTATCATAGCCCGTCTCGAGATATAATTTTGACAGCGTGAGATTACTTATTTACCCTTGGACGTTTTGTGTGGTTATGTGGGTGGAGTTTTATTTGGACAAATTCTAAGATTTTTCCTAAGTTTTGGAACACTTAGGACTTAAAATGTTTACTTTGGTTGGTTGGTGACCCACATGGACCACACACACACACACACAAAAGTACCTTTCTCTTTCTTCTCTCATGTGCTCTCTCATTCAGACTCACTCTCTCTCCTTTCTCCCGTACAAATTAACAATAAAACTAGTGGAAAGTTGTAGATCGAGGGTTTAAAGGACACCATCGTGTTCCTGAGGTTCATACGAGTTGAATGGTACCATTTTTAGGCAAGAACTTCTTCGAAAACTCGTGAAAACCCTAACCCGATTTATGTCACTATTCATACAATCGTAAAATCATGTGTTTTTGGGGATTTCAAGCTTAAAGGTAGCTTAAGGAGGTCCTCACGAGGCTCGGAGTGGTTCGTTGGAAGAATTTAGATGTCGGATTATCGAGAACGACGAGTTTTAAGATTTGCCGGAATATCGAGGCTTTTTTCAGCGGGTTTCCAGTGGTTTCAGGGCTCAACTCAGGTATGGTTTTGTTTGTCTTGGTGAGATCTTCAAAATGGGTCAAGTTTCATAGAATTTGGTTAAGAAATGAAGAAGATATAAGATTTTGAAATAAAATCTAGAAACCGGCGAAGTCACAGGCGTCCGGCGACTCGTCAGATAATATGGGGGCATATTACTTCAGTTTTGACGGAATATGCTAACGGTGTTAGATGACGCCGTTAATAATTAATGGTATATGCTTGTTTTTTGACGGAATATTCCTGACGGCGTTAACTGCCGCTGTCAATGTGCATGGCACGTGCCCGCATGTGGGCTGCGCGTGGGTGGTCGGAAAATTTTTCTAAAAATATGGGGATGTTCGTGAGGTTGTGTAGATCACGTTGGTATATTTAAACACCCCATTTTAGCGTTGTATGAGAAGTTATTAGCTAGTATTGGTTATGTGCTTTAAATTAACGTTTTTATAATTGTTTCGCATATAGGGGAGACTTATCCCTAGGATGAGCGCAGTCAAGGGCGACTCGGGGACTACGACCCTTCGACATACCAGTGAGTGGGCTTTTGGTTTTCAGTATATACTTATAGACTTGATATTTTCCTAGAAAATGCGTTTAAATGAAAGTATGCTTTGAATTGCCATGCATATAAATTTATATTCTGCATATGAATTAGTATATGATGCATAATATATAATTGTGGTGCTGTGGACGCTCAGGTAAGCCCATGTGAGTTTATGAATTGTGAATGTGATTAATTGAGAAGCATAGAGCTTATAAACCTGCACCTCGGGTGATTGTGATTTAGCCAAAGATATGACACGGGCCTGTATATAATGTCACCTTCCACACCATATGCTCACTTTGGATCCAATTCAGGTACACAGTCTTGTCGTACAGACCATCATAGGTGGTTCCGACTCGTAGGTGACTAGCGATTTATCGCCCAGCTATCATGAGAGCGTAGTATTGAACATAATTATATTACACCCAGTCTTGTCGTACAAACCATTTTAGTGGTTCCGACTTGTGTGCAGTGTAGTGCCGTATAGGTCATTGTAGTGACTCCGACTAGATTGACTAATGAGCTATGAAATCAGCCGTACAGACTTATGCAGGGGTTCCGGCTAATATGTTATTTTCCATGAATTTATTCTCACCTGAGTTACTTATTCTATTTTCATGTTTTGGCATGGCATACTTATGAATATGGTTATGTGAAGCATGATTTGAATTGAGATATTTATATATATTTATGCATATGTTTATATTCTATCTTTAGGAAAAATTATATCTGTTTTACAGCGAGGGGTTAGAGCATTTGAAAGTTAAATGTGTTTTCAAAACCTTTGTTTTTGCCCACTCACGTTTTCTGTTTTGCGCCCCTCCAGGTTTTAGGTAGACTTACTGTTGGTGGCATTGAGGATCTTGGCGGTTTTGACAGAATAAAATATTTGTAGGACATCTTCTGGTACTGTATAATTAGTACTTGTCCTACTGAACTGCACCTAGACTTTCTATGCTCTGGTTAGGAGTATTTCCACTTGTATATCACTCCTAGCACTTCCTGTTTAGTAGTGCACATTAGTAGCTTTCGGTTTTTATTTATTCGTATATTTCTTATATTTATCGCTTTCACACTGTGCACATAGCTACGTCACCCTTACGTGACGGCCAACGTGCCTCGATCTCGGTCGGGGTGTGTCATTTCGGTACTAACATTTAAATACATTAGTTCAATATAATACATTTCGGTATTAACATTTATGTACATTAATTAAGTCTTTCAAGTTTGAAGAATGTTAAATAAAAATAAAAATGGAAAAACTCTTTTTTGGTCCTAAAAAAAAATTTGTATGTTAATACATTTAAATATTTAATGGGACACATTAAATAAAATGCACATTAATTATTTTGAATCAAGGACACATTAAGAAATTATAATAAATATGTAATATAACATCAGATTTATTTTAAATTTCACGCTTCTTAAAGAATTAAAATTAAAAACCCCTTAATTTATTATAACCTCGTGTTAAGGTCACATTAAACACGCCATAACCCACTAGGGCCGCATCCCGAGTAGGTGGCCAGCAACAAATCACAAGCATTTCCCAAGTTTAATTAACACAGACTTTCTTGTTTAAAAAAAAAACAAAAACAAAAACAAAAACTTTCTTAAAAATCAAAATAAAATAAAACCCATCTTAATTTATCTTTAAAATTTGGAATAGCAAATCTCCCAACATTAAACGGTTCAAATCACAGATAAAACTGTCTTATTTATTCTTAGACAACTTCAACATGGGAGTTGTTTCTTGCGGGCAAGTTAAGAGAGACGTCTGCAGAGGGTGAGTCCATCTCCGATGGAAACAACAGCTAGCTCGACACGGTCATCCGCCGCGAGAAAGCTGTTGAGTTCCAGCAAATGTTTTCTGCTTTGCTTTGCAAAATTTTCCACATTCTCCTCAGGCTCCGCCACTGTCCCAAACCACAATGTGTTATCATAAGCTATGATTCCTCCAACCTTCACAAGCTTCATCAGCAACTTGTGATATTCCATGTAGGAGTCCTTGTCGGCATCCACAAATGCGAAATCAAAGCTCCCTTCTTCCTTTCCCTGCTTAATTAATTCCATGTTTAATTCTCCAAATCAAATAGTATATCAACAAATAGTACTTTTTCTCAAAAAAAAAAAAAAAAAAAAAACAATTATTAAAGGAATGAGGAGAGTTCTAAACTGTAATATTAATTTAGAGGAGAGAAAGTTTTGAATCTGGAACGCGTGGGTAGAAAACTCAACACTCTAACTACTAGGATATTGGATACTTATTACTTAAGCTAAATATCTAGATGATATATAATTCTTCTTACCTTCCCAATTCACCATTATGTACTTGAATCAACATTTATTAACACAGTCGCAAAAGAAGTGCGACATGACAATTTGAGAGTACGAATACATTCTCAATCACAATATAACTTTCCCTTTATTTTTAAGACATCTGCTATTCATATGCCCTAATTTGCATTTTTCACTCTAAATTTAGAGAAGAACTTAGATAGACCAGCTTAACGGTGATGCACTCTAACAAAGGAAACAGCTCCACTGTATATGGATTCCTTACAACCCTACACAGGTACAACTTCCAATGGGCCACCGTGTGTCATTATGCCTAACCTACTTTAAGTCTGATATTTAACATGATTGATTATGTTAAATCACAAACATCAACTTACTTTGGTAATGAGATCATTTAGAACTGTGAAGGCATCTGACTGGCAGAAGTTAATCTTATTTTCCACCCCAGCCTTTTGAATAAATGGCAATCCAACCTCATAGGCTTCTTTATCTACATCGATTGCCGTTATCTAAAAATTGAAATATTAGTATAGCTAGCTAGCTAGTAGATATAAAATATGAGAAGTCTATAATTATTTCAAGGAAAATTAAAAATTAAAATCAGGAAAAAATGTTCGAGTATTACATACTTTGCCATCAGCAGGTAGTGCAAGAGCAGTAGTGAGAAGAGAATAACCAGTGAAGACACCAAGCTCCAACGTCTTCTTCGCATTCATCACCTTCAGAAGCATCGAGAGAAGCAGGCTTTCGTCGACGGGCACATTCATAAGACTCCTGTTCGTGTTCAAAATCGACGAAATGTAATCCTTCAGGGTCAAGTAACTATTATCTCAAAGAAATTTACTAGGCAATCAAAATAGTTCTCCGATAAGGGATTTAAGACACGTACGATCGAAGGAAAAAAAGTACTAAAATATCGAAACCCTACCAGAAGGGATATTTCTCGACAGTGGCCTCCCTTAGTTGCTTCAGTTGCTCATGTTCTCTTGGAAAACAGCTTGTTTCGAAGATGTACTGTATTACGAGAAATTAAGGCTGTTAATTAACACAAAATATAATTAGCACGTTGTGTTTCTTTAGTTTGCAACTACTTCAACAACAACAAAATGTGGACATGTAACCCTGACTTTCAACAAGTTTTGAACTTGTGATACAAGTACAACAATATATCTACGCTAAGAGAATAAATTAATTACGAACTCGTCATTAGTTAAATTTTTTTTTTTTGAAAATAAAATAAAATGAAAAAGGAAATACTTTATGCTGAAGATAGACACTTGTGCATCATGCAGCTTCTAAGTTGTAACTGAACATGTATACAGATACAGTTACATCATGCATGATGTGTGACACTCGTGCATCATTATATACGGCCATCTCATACTTTCGAAATAAAGAAGAATCTGATTTCCTCGTTGAAAAAATTAATAATAATAAAGTACCTGCTTTTTAGCTGAAAAAAAATAACATTGAAAATGTCGATTTTTTATTTTTTTTTAAAGGGCAATACGAAAATTTTTTATTAAAAAAACATAGAATGAAAATAGTGAAAACTCCAATCCAAAGCTGAAAAACGAGAAAGAACTAGGAATAGAATGATTTATATGAAACAGAAGGTAAAGATGGCAATGTTGCAAACCAATCATGAATGTAAAACAAGTTCAAATGCGTGATAAATTTGAAACAACTTTTCTAACATTTTCGTTTCATGTGAGTCACTCTCATAAAAAGCGCATCTGATTTGATCAGGTGAAGCATGGGGTTACATTAAGAAAAGGAAAACGGGAGTGTACCTTGAGAAGTGCTGGGTTTTTTAGTATTCTCCTCTCTGGTTTGGCTTCTGACTCAGACATGGCTGGGTGAACAACAAAGGAGCAAATATTTTATTCCTTCAGTTTCTAGTTTTCTATAGCTGTGAAATATGAAGTTGGGTGCGTTGTGCATTTTATATTGGGAATTTGGGAGAGGAAAGGCGTAGGTGGCAGCTTGGCCAAAAAAGTAAAGGGAGTAGGATTCTTTTTTTTTTTTTTTTTCCTCTCCTTCCATTCATTCCTATTTGAACGATCACGGTTAAATCATATCAACATCTTATAGTAATTTTTTTATAATAAGAGAAAGATAAAATAAGAGAATATGAGACGAGAAAATGAAAGGGAATGGAAAGAGAAAGTAAGAGAATCATAGTCTAAAGAAAAGAGCATGTCAGACTTTTGGGTGGATTGGGCCTCACTTCTTTATTTGGAGAGATTTTTTTAGTGACCGTTACTCGAGGTGGTACATCATGTATTCTTATATAAATGATGTGTTATGTGTGTTAAAAGATTAATAACTTAAAAATTAAAAATTTTCATCACTTACATAAAAACACGTGATGTATCATCTGTGTTCTTCCGTTATAAGTCAAAATAAATTTCTCCTTTATTTGATGGGTGTGGCTGGTTAGGCTGTTTCACATTTATGGCTCACAGTCTTTGCATGTGTGTGTGTAGTTTTTTTGTCTTATTTATTTATTTATTTTTGAAAAATATATGGCTGGTAGAGAATGACGGTTCAAAGTCGTGTATAAATATATCGTTGTTGTATATATGTTAATTTATGCTCGCCAAACCTCACTCTTTGTGTGTGAAGCAATTTTTTACTAGTTTTTTAGAATTGGAGAGGAGAGAAACTGTGGGAATGGAGAGAGGTTTATGTTTTTACTTTGGGATGTGATATCTACACACCATTTTTTACTTCTCTCACACCCTTTTAATTTTCGATCGTTGGATCAAATGAATTGAAGAAGATCAAATGACATAAATTAACAAGAAGTGTGAGAGAAGTAAAAATGAATGTGTGAATAGCACACCTCTTTACTTTTTATATTTTAGAATTCGAGACACGATATAGTGACATGTGGACGAGAGAGTAAAAAGAATAAAATTGATTTATATGAAAGTACATCGTATTTTTATCATCTTTTGATTTACAAATTTTTTTTTATTAGTATGTAGGATAGGGTTTAATCCATCCATCTTCTCTTCGAGACTATTCTCCAAGTTTATTTTACTCTGTTAATAGGGACCATTGTAATTTGAATATATACTTATTGAGGAAGTAATATATACTTAATGAGGTAGTTAGGTAATATAATGGAACTACCTAATCTGAGTAGTCATCTGGTTACGCCATTAGCATATTAATGCAGACTATTCGCCAGCATATTTTTAGTTGGGATGTATAATTTGCTTGTGGAATTTAGTGTTAGTAGTACACCCACCCTCCCACCCCCCCCCAAAAAAAAAAAGAAAAAAGATTATCCCAAATAACAACCAGGTGCATTTTCATTTTCACCACAATTCATCATCTTTGTCCGAAAATTAAAATACAAAATATTCCAAAAAGGAATTAAAATAATAATTCTAGACTCCTCTCCATGCACGTAGAAGACTTGTATAGTATAATGCACTGTTATAATAGCATTTCGTGCAAATAATATAAAAATATATTTTAAAAATTTTAACGTATTCTTGTATTATTGGCTAGAAATTGTTAATTCTAATTTGCTCTATATCTGTTTTGAGTAGTGCAGGAGCATTTTCATGAAGAACCCACCACGTGCGGCGTTAGAGCAAGTCCACCCACGCGCGTCGCCCGACTAGATTTCAGGGCACGGGCCCGTGCGAGGTAGAAAACCCAGTGACTGTTGGGAAGCCGTGGCTTCCCATGGTCCGTTCGATCCCAACGGCTCTTTAATACGAGCCGTCCGATTTGCAATGGTAATATAAAAAAAAAGCTGATTTTATATCAACCGTTCGATCTGAGATCAACGGTTGATATTAATCTGCTTTATAAATTAAAAAAAATAGTTTTAAAATTAAGAAAAGTTACCGTTGTGACACGTGGCACAATCTGGAGTTTTGGAATTCAAAATTTTTAAAATCCAACGGTAGAGATTAATTATTTAAATAAAAATTTAAAAAATTGTAAAAAATCCGAAAAAAAATTTGTAAAAAATTGTTTTTACTTTTCTATGAATACCACTTCTTCTCCATCTACCTTACACGACAATTTCATATTTTCTCAACTACTTTCAATCAAATTCCTATCTTTCTCTCAAAGTTTCAATCTAATTTTTTTTCCACAAAATGACTACTGATGTCACAGCCCGTCCCGAAAATTTTATATCGGGAGCGTGAAATGACGGATTTACCCTTAGCGGGTATTAAGGTGTGTGTGTGTGACGTTATTTGGTTTAACTTATTATACGTTTTGGATTAAAATTTTGGCTTTTGTTAATTTTGTGGTTAGGGAATTAGATGAAATGGATGGTGAGGATTGGTGTTGGACACCTCACACACTCCCTGTCCTCTCCCTCTTTCCCGTAACTCTCTCTCTCCTCCCTCACGATTCTCTCACTCTCTCTCACCTATATCGTACGGACCTCACCCAAAACCCTCCAAAACTCCGTGGATCGACGCAAACAAGGTAAGATTCTTTATCCTTGTGATGTTCTGAGTTGATTGGTACTAATTTTAGGAAGTGAAACCCTCGGAATCGTCGTGAAACCCTAACCCCGAAAATGTGCACTGTTCATGCACACGTGAAATGTTGTGTTTCAGGGAATTCTAAGCTTATAGTGAGCTTAGTGAGGTCCCAAGGAAGCTCGGAGTGCTTCGTTTGAAGGTTTTGGACGTCGGGATCACTAGGTTCGAGTTTGGCCGGTTTTTCTTGGATTTTCCCGGTGAGATTTAGTTGTTTTTAGAGCTTTAAAGTAGTATATCGTGAATCTGCATGTGTGGGGCTTCATTTTGATATAAAATACGAAGAAAATGGTTGAGAAACGAAGGAGAACAAGAAGTTTCAAATTTGGTCGAAAACCGGCCACCGGAAAGTTCAGTCCGGCGAGCCGAGGTTAGGGATGATGTGCGTGGGGGCGCGTGTCCCCGTGCCTATCCCGACGCGTGGGGGCGCGTGCAGCTTCCAAAAATTTTTCTAAAAATTTCTCGACGTCCGTGACGTCGAGTAGGTCGATGTGGTATATTCATATACCTAAATTGAACATCGTATGAGAAGTTATTTCGAATTGTTGGTTATGTGTTTAAATTAACGTTTTTATAGTTGTTTCGCAATAGGTGACACCTATCCCGAGGAAGAGCGCATCCAGGGACGTCACGGGGGTTACGATCCATCGACTTATCAGTGAGTGGGCAGTTTTGTTTTCGTGTTACCGATATACTACTGTTTTCCCAGAAAATGCGTTTATATGAAATTATAATTCTAAAATGCCATGCATGCATATTATGAGTTATGAATTGATAATTGATGCATATATATGTGTGAATTGGTGCCGTGGACGCACAGGTGAGTATCAGGTGAGTTTATATGGTTTATATGAATGAATGATGATGTGATTGCGTTGTGAGCTCATAAACTGCACCTTTGGTATTAGTGCTTATAGTATTCACCACACCGCACGCTCGCCTTGGATCCAAGTAGGTGGATGTCGTACAGACCACTAGAGGTGGTTCCGACATGCCAGTCGTACAGACCATTAGATGGGTTCCGACTGGTGGGTGACTTTAGATTATGTGCACAGATGATTGATGAGAGAAGCACTAGAGCGTATTATTTTACCATCTTAGTCGTACAGACTACTTTAGGTAGTTTCGACTTATGTGCAGTGTAGTGCCGTACAGGTCACAGTTGGTGACTCCGGCAGGGCCGTACATGTCACAGTTGGTGACTTCGGCTTGATGGGATATTGAGCTATAGAATCAGCCGTACAGGACCACTGCAGGGTCTCCGGTTGATTTATTATTTCACCTGAGTTATATTGATGCATTCATATTATATTTTGGCATGGCATGACATATTCTTTCTGAGAGGTTATGTTGATAGATGGTAAGCTGAGTTTTGATGATATATATATATATATATATATATATGTTTATATACTATTTTTCTGGGAAAGTATATAGGTTTTACGGTGAGGGGTTAGAAACGTTTTAAATAAATGTTTTTTTGGAAAATCTTTGGTTTTACTGACCCACTCACCTTTGTTTTGCGCCCCTCCAGGTTCTAGTTAGCAGTTGGTGGCTCACGAGGTCTTTTTCGGCATTCTGACAGACGTTCTGCATGTAGGACTCACCTGCGGGTGTTGTACTTTAATTATGGTCCTACTTGACTGCACTTATACCTACGCTCTGAATTCGTGTGTTTTACTTTATAACTCTCTCTTGTATGCTAGTAGGTTATGCTGCTAGTGGTTGGTTTAAATTCCTTCATATTTCTATTATATCTTGCTTCCGTGTCGCACTTTTGGCTACGTCACACTCACGTGACGGCCAACATGCCTTGATTCTAGGATCGGGGTGTGTCAACTGATGCAGGTACGAATTGGTCGCTTCTTGAAGATGTTGCGTTGTGCACTAGTTGGGTTGAAGTTACTTATAATTCCCTTACGGGTAATGAGATGCATTTGCGAGAAATGTGGAGTTTAATTCATACCAAATTTCTTAAGCAAATAGGTGGGAAAAGAACCAAAGAATCGATGTCCAGTCGTTGGAAAATACTTTGCCATTCCTTTAGTACGTGGAGAGATGCCTTGACACAAGCTAGTAGTAATGTTCGAAGTGGGGCAAATAATGCGGATGAGGTAAGAATATATTATAATTATTTGTTTGTATTATTATTTTGTTACCTAATTTGATTATAATTATTTGTTTGTATTATTTATTTGTTACCTAATTTCATTATTATTATTTGTGACCTAATTTCATTATTATTATTTGTTACCTAATAATTTCATTAGTATTATTTGTTTGTATTATTTATTTGTTACCTAATAATTTCATTAGTATTATTTGTTTTTGTTATTTATTTGTGACCTAATTTCATTAGTATTATTTATTTGTGACCTAATTTCATTATTATTATTTGTTTGTATTATTTATTTGTTACCT